GAAGAACTCAGTTGCCATCTGTCTCCCAGACCCTGAATTTATCTATTGCTACTGCAGGTGAGACACAGACTGGGGGCAAGGGGTGGAGAATAAGATGGGAACTGGATGCTGTCCCAGGAGGCAGACTGCATTTCCTCTCCACGTAAGACTATGTAAATATACACGCAACTATATAGACTTATGTTCCCACATAGGATCCGGGTTTTGAGAGGACCCAGATGGAGCACACAGCCATGATTTTAAGGAGCAATCCTGGGTGAGGTGGAGTCTTCTCCCGCTGCAGCTGAGGGAGGGCCCTCATCAATTAATCTTGGTTCCAGGTCACCTGAGCTATCTTCACAAACCCAGGTGAACTTTGAGAAGGTCAGAGCTCGTCAGATGCAGCCTGAGTGAGTTGGAGCAAAACAGAGCCCACGTGCTTGACACGTGGATGTGCTCAGAGCCAATGGTTTATAAACTTGCCAAGGACTAGGGAGTAGCTGCTTTCCAGAGAACCCTGGAGCAATTCTCTGGCTGTGAAGCAAGCAAAAAGGCAAGCACAGCTTTCTACTTTCTTTAAGGTGTTTTTATTTGAGAATAGAGAGGCTTGCTCAGAGCGCGGCCACACCAAGCACTGTGGAGAAATGCTGTGAGACACAGAAGGAACTGCTGGCATAGCTATAAACTGTGCAGCATCCTCTTTGTCCTTATTTATTTATTTTTTTTGAGGGGATGGCCCACACCCAGCAGTACTCATGGCTTACTCCTGGCTCTGCACTCAGGGTCCACTCCTGTCAGCCTGGGGCACCATATGAAGTGACAGGGTTTGAACCCAGGTCAGCCGCATGCAAGGCAAATGGCCTACCCACTGTGCTCCAGCTTCCTCCTTCACGATCACGATCACGATCACGACCATCCTGTTGTTTGTCGATTGCCTCGAGCAGGCCCCAGTAACGTCTCCTTCATCCTAGCCCTGAGATTTTTTAAAAAGTGCCATATTCAAGGCTCTTTCAGGGTTAGGGGAATGAGACCCAACATTGTTACTGGTATTTGGCATATTGAGTACGCCACGGGGAGTTTACCAAACTCTGCCATGTGGGCAGGTTACATTCAGTAGCCTTCCAGTTTGTCCAAAGTAAGAATGAGATAATAAAATGTCGTGCAGCCGCATTTGCGGCCATGTGCTTCTGAGAGCTATGTTTTATAGTCTCTGGGTCTTGGCCGTTGATGGGATTACATGGAGCCAGAGGGCCAGTTGGTGGGTGTGACCCCTGCCTACTGGAATATGGAGGATCTGGGTGGAGGATGCTCAGCCCCGATCCAAGCTGGCTTGGAGATCTCAGTCCCAGGACCCGCATGCCTTTGTTCCTCTGCGGTACCTTCATGTGTGTGGAGAGTGGTCTCAGCATGGTGGTGGCTGGTTCTGGAGGTCTTCAGCTGCTGGAGCCCCGGTTGGGATGGGGAGGGAAACTCAACCTGCTCCCCTCCAAGGGGCCCAGGGGAGGACAGACAGGTGGGGCAGCTTCCTCCTTATCTTTTTGAAAAGCACCTTTCTCCAGCAGCCTTTTAGAGTTTTGTCAATTCTGCTTTTCTTTTTCTTTTTGGGGTTAAACCTGCAAATGCTGAAGGACTATTCCACAGGCAGGGATGTACTCACTCAGGGTGAGTGGTGCCACTCTCAGCAGAGCTGGTGGACCATTCCTGCATGCCAAACATCTCTAGTCCTTTGAGCCATCTCTCCTGGTCCTAATCTATGTTTCAAAACTAAATGTATTGTATGCTTCTTCCATGCCAGGTGCTTCTGTCTTTTCACATATATGATCTCATTTAATGATTTCTTCCAACCTCTTGAGAAAAGTACATTCTTCTCCCCCCTTCATTGATGAAGAAACTGAGAAACATGGCCACAGTCTCAATAAAAGGGCCCTGATTGTCTGACTCCCAAGTCTGTGCAGTAGGTTGTCAATGGAATGACTTTCTTGAGCTTAGCCCAGGTTTCAGGAGACTGTGGAGCTGCAAAGCTGCCTGCCTCGCTTAGGGCCTGGCTCTGCCATGCCCATGTCTCATAGTGTCTATGGATGAGAGAGTTTTCCTTTGCCCAGCCTGTACCTTTGCCAATAAACTGTAAATGATGCCAAGAGAGATGGTGCTTTCCTACAGTCAACACAAGAATTCAGTGTGGAATAAATCGCTTTGCCTGACACTTTCATAAGTTTTGACCAATTCCTTTTCAATCCTTGGTTTTGCTTCATGCTCATAACCGCTGGCTCTAGGAATGATTATTTTCACTTCCCAGCTGCAGGAACCAAGGTCAGAGAGGAACTGTGGCTTGCCAACACTGCACAGGTAGGAACCATGAGAGCTGGGTTTAGAACACCCTCTGCTCCTGTGGAGCTTCTAAATTTGTATCCTCTGAGCACTGCTTCCTACCCCTGGGACACTGGGCTCCTCACTGTTGCATTCCAACCTGTGGAAGGGCCTTCCAGGTGCCCCCATGTCCACTAAAGTCCTCTGCCCAACTGTGTCATTTCGCCAAGAGCAAAGAGATCTGAGATGCACTGGGTGTAAAGGCCTTTTACATATTGCAGTGGAGAAAGCTAATCTGGTGCAAGGAGAAAGGAGAAGAGATGTTGGGTGTTCCAGGGGAATGCCGGCAGACTTTAGGTGGTCAGGGAGGCAGAGGGAGGGTGCCACACAGAGGAGAGGGCTCCCAGGGACACACCTGGACTCTGAATAGACACCCTAATGCCGTGTGTTCCAGACCCAGAGCAAATCAAGGCAGGCCGGCAGCGCCCTCAGGCTCTCTGGTTTGCCTGGTTTGCCTGGGAAGGCCACGTGCAGGCAAAGGACCTAGCTGAAGGGATGTTGGGGAGTGGGACAGGAAAGCCTTGTGTGCCAGGGAAGGTGGCGCAGGTGGGCGCCCGGCTGCAGGCTGGAGGTGGGCTGTTGTCAGCGTCCCACGTGCTGGCCTCCTGACCCAACCTGCCCTTTGGAGAGATGGCTCTTGTGGGGCTGAAGGCGGAGCCCTGCCTGTAGCAGGGGCGGAGTCCTGTGGCAGAGAGCCCCAGGCTCGGGTTGCCTTTGGACTTCTCCGAGTGTTCCAGCTGACACCCCCTCACTGTGTGTGAGAACACTGGCCCTATGCTGTGCTCTGGCATCTCGGCCTGGAGCAAGTGCTGTCTTGGGGCAGGCTGGGATGTGGTGGGGGAGGGCCACTGCCAAGGGTCTCTCAATTCCACTCTCCCTTTTATTGGCCCTGGGATCTTGGTAGGTGTCCCATCTCCCCGCCCATGGGGCAGCTCTCAGGGGAACTCCTGGCAGAGAGCTTCTAGAACACCTGCATTCCAGTGTCAGTAGGCCTGTCCAACCATGGAAGAAAGGGCCCCAGAACTGTTTGTAGGAGGCGCCAGGAAGCTGGACCCACCAAAAGCCACCAGAAACCACAGGCCTGTGGGAGGTCTTCCTTCTTCAGCCGTTATCTGACCAGAAATCTCAGCACACAATGTTCTGGTTGATGTTTCTTGAACATAAATCTTAATTCCGAATGCAGCAGCCTTCCTTCATAGGAAAGCCAGGGTGCATTTTGGCATGTGACAGCCCTAATCAATGGTTTCTCATGCCAAAGTGCTCTGTGGTTCTAATTTGTCTTCTCTGCAGGAGTGAGAGCCTGGGTGGGGGGGACCAGGAGAGTTACAGAGGAGTGAATGTGACTGTTGGACTTTATTTATTTATTTATTTATTAATCATAGGGATAATTTAGGTCTGTCCTCATAAAAACAACAACAATCTGAATAGGCATTTCATACTGGGGAGGAAAAAGATAGCAAGAAAAAATAAAAATTTACATTTAAATATTTCAAGTAAGTACTCTGGTCTTGGCAATGGTGGGGGGTGGGGGAGGCATCACTCCTTCAGTAAAACATACACACACACACACACATACACACACACACACAGTCTTATACATACCCAAAAAGTTGCAAGGGAAGGTGCTAATGGCAATGTAGTATGTACCTAGATTCTCCTCCATCTCTCTCTAAGGCCTTGATAAAATCATTGTTGCTGAGTCACCACCCTGCATCATGTTATATTTCTGAGCTTCCTCTCCTCACATGCTCTGCCCTCCATTCTCTCTCACCGCGCCTTCCCTTAAAGAGAGGAGCATTAACCTCTCTTCCTTTCCACTTGGCCCACCTCTCCTACCCAAATTCCCAACTTCCTTTGTCTCCATTTATATATTTTGTCTTTTCTGCTCCAACAATCTCCTCTGCAGAACCCACTACCCTGTCTGCTTCAAGCCACTACCGAAGTCACCCTCTTAGGAATAAGAGAATTCTTTCTTAGCAAGCACCAGGCTTCCCTGAGCACAGCAATCAGAAGTTTTGGGTGGCTGGTGTTGGGGTGGGGAACAAAGTGCCAGAGGCCTGTGTTATCTCAGCCTATGAAGTCTTTCTGCTAGAAACCTCTGGAGGACAGAGAGAAGAGAAGTCACTAGTACTAGGCCACTCAACTGGAAGTCATACCGGCTATGGCTAATCTCCCGTTATTTGGTGACATCTCTTACCTCTTCAGCAAACAAAAGCCAATCTCCACTCCAGAAACAAGTTAGGCACACAAGGTTTGAGTGCAAGTCTCCTCCTCTCTAGAAACTGATTCCTCATGAGGCCTGGACTTGGGAGGTGGGAGGTGGGAGGTGGACGAATAGAGATCTGCTTCTGGTGGGCCTCCTCGAATGTCCTGGAGTGGAGCAATCAGGCTGTGGATCAAGGCCACGAGGCAGGTAATGAGGATTCGGTAGCTTTGCCCTTGAATGCTGACCAGCATGGCAACCCCACTGACTCCTTCCTGGTCTGAAGTGCACCAACTTTCTCTGCAGGGGCACCATTGGCTGGGATGGTGATAGGTAGGCCTAAGAGAAATCTAGGGGCTGCTATGTACAATTTACCCTGTAGCCCCCGGGATTTGCAGATCTGGGGTTGGGAGGGGTTTGAGGGAAGAATGACTGAAGTACTGACCCATCAGATGCTTCCAAAAATTTAATAAATAATGATTTTTAAAACTGTATAAACTATAAATTATCATGCAATCATTATAATTTAAAATAATTTACAGGTTGAGGTAGGGAGGGGCCCAGGAGCGTGTGGAGGGGCTGGAGGAGAGTGGGGCTGGTGTGGGGCTCAGGCTCTTCTCCCTGTCTTCCTGCTGAGCACACACACACAGGCTGTGTCGATCCGAATGAACCGCCAGGCCGCCTGCTTGTCGTCCATGGTCAGAGCCCTGACGAAGGTGTGTGTGGTGGTGCAATAGGAGTTCCAGTGCTTGGAGTCAATGCCTCTGCACCCGCTGTCTGAAGGATTGGGTGCTTGGCACTTGGTCTCAAAAAAGTACTGTTTGAAGACACTGTTGTTGATGTTCACCTCCCCCAACACCATCACCTCCTTGCCCTTGATGTCTGTGGCTGTGGTCTTGTCTCCGACCCACACGCTGACACTGTCACACACAGAGAACTCACCCCGCTGGTGGATGGGGTGGGACGACCTCTTGCTCCTGTGAGTCCTGTTGGAGGGGGAGGCGCTGCCAGCCTCCAAATCCAGATCCTGAGCGTCGGCAGCCAATGGTGGGGGCTGGGTGCTGAACAGCACACGAGGGGAGTGCAGTCTGCGCTTTTTGAACAGCTTGGGGTCCACGGTGATGTTGCTGCTCTGTCCAGAGACCCGGGCGGCTATCGCCCCTGCTGGGGCATTGCGGACTCTGCGGAGGGCTGTGTCGAGGGAATGCTGAAGCTTAGTCCAGTGGGCTTGGGGAACAGCGTGTCCTGCTGGGACATTGCTCTCTGCCAGTGGTTCTGCCTGGATGCCAATCAAAAGCGCTGTGATCAGAGTGTAGAACAACATGGACATTACGCTATGCGCCTGAAACAAAACAGAAACTAAGATTATTCTGGGGGGTGGTATGTGTGCACCAAAGGTAGGTTCTGGGCTCCCAGGATGCACCTCCCAAGAGAACCATGAGTAACAAGATGGTTTTAGCTGGGATTCTGTGGGCAGTGCCTGCAGTCGGCCATCTGAGACACCTCTGAGAGTGAAGGAGGTGCTGCAATGAGACAGGGACAAAAGGCAGAAGAGGCCCACGGAGGTACCTGGAGCACCTGGAGGCACCCGTTGGCAAGTGTCAGCCAACGGGTCTCAGGAAAGGCCAGGACCCCTGAGATGCTGCCTTGTTACATGGCAAAAATTTGGAGCATCTTCACCTTCCTGCCTGTCTACCTGAGGCAGCGATGGCTCTGACACCACTCCTCAGTGCTGTGTCCTTCAGTCCTCTGCAACCCCCTCCAAAGGCCTTGGAAGAGTTGCTGGCGGGTTGTCAACTGACTCCAAGGTCTATTTCACCCTCTTCAGACCACAGATGGGGAGGGAGTGGCTTTGTAGACCCCCGTCATGAATCCGCAAAGCATTCAGTTGCGGTTGGCCTAGCCAGACCCTGCTGTAGTGCATGCCTGCAGTCACCAGCCCCACATGGCAAAGGGACATGAGAGGGTTTCTGCTTTGCGGGACACCTTTACACCTTTCAAATGCATTCTCTTCGAATTGCCTCAGTCTGGTTGGTGAGTTATTAGGCTGTCACCTTTTCCCTTTATATATAAGGAAAATGATCCAGGAGGAAATGAACTCTAGGTCCAACTTCACAAACACAACACTACATCAGAAGTACAACTGGAATCCGCCCGCTTACTAAGTCAGCTCATCTGCCCTTCCTCCCCTCTGCTTTTGCTTTTTTTTAATTGAAGCACTGTTAGATACACAATTACAAAGTTGTTCATCACTGAGTTTCAGTCCTTCAATGTTCCACATCCATCCCTTCATCAGTGCACATTTCTCACCACCAATGTCCTCAGTTTCTTTCTGTCCCCTGCCAGCACCCCCACTGCCTGCCCCCACAACCTGCCTCTATAGCAGACACATTTTTTCTCTCGCTCATGTGTTCTCTCTGATTCTCTCTCTCTCTCTCTCTCTCTCTCTCTCTCTCTCTCTCTCTTTCTCTCTCTCATATTTTCCTTTTAGGTACTCTAGTTTGTAATACTGTTACTGAAAGGATATCATGCATATCACTTCACCTCCTTTCAGATTTTCTTCTGTTTCATTTTTTTTACCTGTAATGCTCAAGACTTATTCCTGGTAGTGCTTGGAAGACCAAATATGATGCCAGGGGTTGAAGCCGGGTGAGCTACTGGGAAGCCAACTGCCTTACCCATGTATTATCTCTGGTTCCCTTCTCCCTCACTTAAGCATGTATTTTCTTTTTATTATTATTATTATTTTAATTTTTATTAGAGAAACACCATGAGGTACAGTTGTAGGCTTACAAATTTTGTGCTTGGATTTCAATTATACAATGATCAAATACTCATCCCTCCACCAGTGCCCTTTTCTACCATATTTATTTTATGTGAGTATAAAAAACGACAGAAATCTTTCTGTCCTCAAGAGACACTATCAGCTCCTTCAGGTCATGTCCATACTAGGCATGGCTTCTGCTCCATCCAAGTTGTCTATCAATGACCATCTGCACTTCCAAACTCCACCCTAGCCCTCATCCTTCCCAGAGTGCAAGTAATTGTGAATTTAGCTCTGACTTGAGCTGGTGTTTGGGGAGCCCTGTGCAAAACTGTGTATTTACAGTAAGTGACTTAGCAAGAAAGCATCCCCAGATATTTCTTGTAGGGTCAGTGGCTGTCCCTAAAGAGCATGTTGAAAACCCACTTCTATCCCTTCTCTCACCTTTCTTCCCTTTCCTGCAGGTTCTTCTGCTCCCCATCTACTCTTCTGCCTGAAAGATACGACCTCCTTCTAGATTACACCCATCAAAAATGTGTGTGTGTGTGTGTTTTCTCCAACAAAATCATTGTAACGAAAATAACTCTGCACTGGTCTTAGGGTCTTGGCTTAATAAACCTGTCATGTAGTGGATTTCTAAGTCGGCTACTTGAGGGCAAGTGCCTTAATGTTTCTGAACCTTGGTTCTTTTATTGATTAAAAAAAAGCAGCAGGCAATAACCTTTATTGAGGGGTGGTTAGGATTAAATAGATTAAGGATTAAAAGACATCAGTTAATTTTCAGTCCCCCTCCTCCAATCTCCCTGGTCAGAATCTTTGTCTTCTTCTATTATCTTCCTGCTGATTTCCTATCTGAATACACCCCATGTTTTTCTTGGCACAGGATATGTGTGTGTGTGTTACCTCTATCAGTTCTCTTTCCTTTCTTCCTTTCTTCCCACTAGCTTCAAAGTCCTATAGGGCAGGGCTAGATCTCATCTGCCTAAGTAGTGAATCCTCTAAGCAATGTCATTCAGGAGTCTTTGTATATGAAGAATTCTTTCTATATCTGTCTCTCTGAGAGCATTTTATGAGCCTTGATATTTGCATTTCAGTATTCCTAAACATGTGTGAAGGGTGTGGCAGATAGTAGATTCTCCAAGGAAAGGATGAGAGGAAGGAAGGAAGGAAGGAAGGAAAGAAGGAAGGAAGGAGGAAAAAATTAAGAAAGAAAGAAAGGAAGGAAGGAAGGAAGGAAGGAAGGAAAAATTAAGAAAGAAAGAAAGAAAGAAAGAAAGAAAGAAAGAAAGAAAGAGGAAGGAAGGAAGAAAAAAAGAAGTAACAGAGAAGTGACTGGGAAAGCCAGAGAAGCTCACCATCTGCTTTCTTTTTTTCTTTATTTCTTTTTTTGAGGGCAAGTGCCTTAATGTTTCCTTAACCAAGCTCCATAACCAAAACCAGGGTGCTTGGTTTCTTCTGGAATTTGTGTCTCTGGCCACATACTACATTCTCAATCTGTTTTAGAGCAATGCAAGCTCCTCTTCAACACTGCAGTTTTATTCAGTGGAATCAGACAGCTTTTTGGTGAGACACCAAGAATAAAACCACCAAATTCTTTTCCCTTTGGTAACTTTGAAAAATATTTGTGTTTGCTGCATTTCTGCAGCCTGTTTTGCAGTGGAAATGGAGGTATATCTGCACTCTGTCCATCACTGGTCTTGTTGGATGATGGGAACGAGATAGTGAACAGCCAACTCTTACAGGACCACATGCTCAGCTGACAGAAAACTCAATCTTTTTACATTCCTCCTAGTTTATTTTTTCTCATAAGCATAGACATTTTTTATCAGGTGAAGGGAGGGAGATGAAAGAAAACTAAAATTCATTCCTTCATATCCAAATCAGCAACTCAGAATTTGAATATAGAATTTTAAAAAAATAACTGAAACTTCTGATTTGGATGATAAGGGACATTCTACTACCTACTTCCTATGACCAGAAGTTAGAACATTCACTTAACAGACTTAAAGTAGCAAACGAAAAAAATGGACCAGAAATAGGGTCTAAACTGACACTTTATTTATTCTATGAATAATAAATAATGGGGTCTCCATCTCAGCCTCCCCTTTGGGAAGCTCCTCCCTTCTAAGGAGTCTGCTGCAATTTATGTGAAGTTTCCTCTATTGCAGCTTCTCTTCCGAAAGCTGGTGCTGAACCTCAAGTTCCCAGATGGACTGCTCTGATATATTAAATGCCAAATACCCGAGTCTAAGTCTTCACACTATAATTCTCATTAGGACTATCACCTCTCACACCTCCTCTATTCAACAGCAGTGATCCCTTTCTAGATCACATGTCGTTCTGCCTCTGGTCTTTCCTATAAACATTTATTCCCATCTTTTTTTCCTAAACATTTTTTTCTTCATGTTGTCTCTTTTCTGCTCCTGGAACCACCATTCCTTTAGTTATCAACTCAAGCCTCAGTGTATCCCTGAAATCAGATCTTCATCCTGCTGTTTGGGGGTGCTTCAGTGGCAGCTCTTGCTACCAAGCAATAATATTATTTTAGGGAGATTTTATGGGGGATGTGTGTGTGTGTTTGTGTCATGGTTTCACTCATGCAAGGCAAATGCCTGCCCATGGAGTTACATCCCTGACTCTTAGAAGCATCTCTTGAACCGATTTTCCACTCTCACTTCTGTGTTCCTGGTTCTTGTCATGGACCAATCTCTCAAACGGCATCCTTCAATTCTCACTCTTCTTCCTGTATCTCTTCTCCCTAGCTGTCCCATTTAATTTCTAAGGGTCCCGTCCTAATGGCATCTCCCTGAACAGACTCTTGTGAGGATCTAGACACTGAGGAGTCAGTGGGACTGTGCAGTGCCACGGTCAGGCCTGCCCTCCGTATCCTCCTCTCACATGGTTCCAGGCAAACAGAACTCCTGACAGGCAGTACTTGCACTCCCCACCACTGCCCGAGGCCAGGCTCCTCTGTACCAGGCATTCTCCTGCCTGCCCTTCCCCAGGGCTTTCTCTGCCCTCATCTCTGCCCTTCTTGTTATCGTAACACAAGTGCTCTTGATTTCAAAAGCATTTCTTGCACGCTTTTATTTGGGGAATTGTGTTCTTCTCAGCATCTCCTACCCTGAGAGTGAGGGATCGTGAGGACAGTCTCTGTCCTTCTGAGATCTGGGGTTTCTCCATCAGAGATGCCATATTGAAAGTTGCTCCTGAAGCTCACAGTTTCTGGGTTGAAACAGTCTAAACATTAGACTGTACACCCTAATGTACAGCGGAGAAGGGACGGGTGTTGGAACATTGTATGACTGAAACCCAGTATGAACATCTTTGTAACTTATCTCATGATGATTTAATTTTAAAAATAAATTGAATAAATTAAGTTTTTATTCATCTATCACTCTTTCAGCTCTGCAGAATGGACCTTTAAATGGTCTGAAAGTTAAATATTTCATCTCATTCCTTGTCAGGATACCAGGTGGTCTTGGGACCTGTTGTGGTAGTGGAGATATGCATCATGGGCAGGTTGTTTCAGGGAGATTTGAAAATGTGCCAAATACGTATCTCAGAATTTTGATGAAAAATGGCTAAAAATATTTAACTTATTATTCATAGTAATATGCTCCCTATTACTCTTTGAAAAATCACCTGAAGGATTGAGAGATAGAATAGAGGTAAAGGTGCATGCCTTAATGTGTAACTGGCTCTGGTTCAAGACCTGCTACCACCTGGTCCCCTGAGCATCACTGGAGACAGCCTTGGGTGCCTTGGATAGCCCCTAGCTGCACACCCTCAGGCCCTCATTGAATCAGTGGCTCTGTCAATGAATCACTAGGAAGGCTCTCCAAGCTTTCTGAGCACTGCTTGGAAGACTCCCATCCAAAAATACGAATGAATGAAAATAAGAAAATAAGTAGCTAAGAAAGAAATTTAAAAAAAAAAAAACAAATGTGTCTTCTAATCTAGTGAAGTAACACAGAAAGACAATTTATAAAGGAAAATCCTCTCCCTAAGTGAAGTAAATTAGGGTGGTATGTGTATTGTTTAATCATTAACTTTTGTTTTTAAGCCTTTGTTTCAAAACACTCTGGTGAGGCTTCTGAAAGCAAAGCTTTGTGCTTGTTGACTGGGTGTGAGAAGGGTCGTGTTCTGTTGAAGGTTTGGAAGTTCTGCATTTGTCCTGTCCTCCACCCAGGAAGAGTGACAAATGTCTTTTTGTCTGTGACCAGTTCCCATCGGAAATGGTAATGTTTTGGGCCTTCTCAGTGGTTCACACACTCCAACAGCGAAGAGAAACAGCCTGCCTGGAATTTATCTTCACCCAGCTTCTGGCCGCCTGCATAGGTAAGAACGCTGCTGGACAGAACTCAGTGACAAGCCTCGCGTGGCTGCTGGGAAGTCTGGGCACTCAGCCTTTGCTGAGCATTGTAGGAGGGAGAAAGAGAACCAAGCTCTGGTGTGTGAGATCGTTGCCAGGACCTGCGAGGGAGTGTGGGTGGAGAGACTGGATCACCCAACCAGGGTCCCCAGCGTTATCGGAGAGGAAATTCTTCTGGAGGAGGAAATGCCAGGGTCCTGCTGACCGCACTGGAAGTGGGTCAAGGGGCCTCTCTTGCACTCTGGACCTCTGTTCTGAATGGAAACTGCCATCTGCACGGTGAAGACCGTACCCTGGGCCGCCAGGGCTTGTGTGGAGCTTGGGAGGAACCCCGTGGCTCCTCAACTCCCCAAGACGTTTCCTGGGGAGTGGCAGCAGAGAAAGTTCTGGGGAGACTCAAAGCCCAGTCTCTGGGACTGCTCTAGGCTGGGCTCCCTGGAGGCCAGAAGGGAAGATGGCCACCATCAAGTGCAGGAGTCAGTGTATCCCAGTTTCCAGGCCCACCCCAAGTTTCTGATTTAGTTTGGGAGTGGGGAGAGGGGGTGGGAAATTTGAGAATCTACATGTTCCCTAAGTTTCCAGAAGCCACTGGTCTGGGGCTCACATTTTTGAGAACAATCTCAAGCCAGTTCTTGAGTGTTACAGAGGAGAAGCGTGACCTTAGAGTGGCCAACAGTGACTCTGAATGGCAGGCCTCACAGGTGGGTGCTTGTGGCTTCTTAGCCTGGTTCCTGCTGGAGAGGTCTGGCAGTGTCCTGGGCTACGTTCATGCAACCTCTGACTTCAAAAGAGAAAAATCCTCTTAGATATTATGGGCACAGCGCTACTTTCCCAGGAAACGTTGGATACCTGACTGGGTTTCTATCTGGCTCATACGGTTATGTCAGCTTGATTCAAAAGCCCATGGGAGAGCCATGATGCCAGAAAGCACCAGCAGAGACAGCCCCACTCCCCTCCAAGGTTCCACTGCTCTATTTCAAGGTGATTGGAGAATAACTGATGAGTCCAGACCATTTTTTCTTTGCTTTTATCAGACCACTCAGTGCACAGAGGCTGCCAGGCATTTGGGGACCTGGTATTTTTTTGCTCAGGGTTACTATAGCTACACCTAGCGGTGCTGTCAGGCTGGGCCTGTGGTCCTAGGGATCAAAGCTGTGGCCTCCCAGCTCATGTGTTAGTCATGGGTGTGCTCTAAATGTAAGCTCCCTCTAATTCTGTTCGAGTTTGTATTATTATAATTATTGTTAATATGGTTACTATATTTAATATATCTGGCAATGCTCAGGGCTTAATATTTCTGGCAATGCTTGCTGGCATGTGCTCGAGTAACCCCTGGCAGTGCTTAGAGGACCATGTACCATACCTGAGATTGAGTCTGGCTCAGCTGCATGTAAGGCAAGTGCTTAACCCACTGCATTGTCTCTCCCGCCTTTTGGTCTGGATTCTTAAAAGACACGTCAAAAAATGATTGAGGTGAGAATCTTCCCTGAGATTTACTGGGCATATTGTCACATTAACCAGCACAAAGCATCTGGAGGTAGGCATTCTTATTTTGTATATGAAGGAACAGAGAAGCAGAAAGTGCCCATAATGACCACAAGTGCACAGCTGGGGAGGCATTAGGCAGAGCAGGCTTCAGCCTCCAGCTCTGTCAGTTCCTACTCCTAACCCCCGGTGAGGGTCAAGGGTATTCAGATTACACAAGGTCGAATACCAGACTTCCCCAGGGCTGGATGGAAGAAGCATCAGACTAGACCCTCTGGCTTTCATGTCCTGTGCTGTGGTACCCCAAGAAGCCCGGGGGCTTCTTTTTACCAGCAGCTAACAGAGTCACAGGTTAGCTCACTAAGAGTAACCTTTGCCCTCCCAAACTTGCCCCTCTTCCTTAGCCCAAGGCTCATTCCACCCTCTTCAAAACCCCAGACCCAAGAACTGTGGAGCAGAATCTACTCAGGTGCTTACCTCAGAGTGCCCAGGACAGAAAGCTGCTCCCTTGGAATAGCCGCTATTGGGCCCTGACGCTGAGCCAAGCTTGGGTCCAGCATGCCATCCAGTCCTCTGGACTGCACGACCAAGGGCTTGGACTCTGTAGGAGGAGAGGCCCAGCATCAGATGGGCATGTCACCACCTTCTTTAGCAAGTGGATAGCTTTGCATGGGCAAAAGGGGAGGGACTGCCAAGAGGATTAACCCCGATACCCCAAGGGCATGGATTTTACGAGCATCAGGGCCCAGGATGGAGCTCGGGGCCAGCTGCTGGCATTGCCAGGGAACTGACCTTTTACAGACCCATGGCGACACCTGCCTCTTGTTCTGGGGCACGGCTCCTGGTTTCTGCCACATAGTGCTGTTTATGTGCAGATGGCAGCTCTCAGCCTCCAGCCAGAGTCCTGATTCTAATCCAAATGGAGTTTATTCTATGTGACACACAGTCAGATATAGTAGGTCCGACTCTGGAACAGCCTATGATAAATTATATGGAAGGAAAAGTCTCACCAATGGAGAATCAGTTGGCGCTTTGACAGAAATTCAGATGAGCAGTGGCGACAAAGAAGACATCCCTACTTCTGGACAAATACTGATGTGCCCTTTGAGAACTTGGGTATGACTCCCAGAGCACCATGCCTAAAGGTCAGGCTTTAGGAATCAGAAGTCATAAAGAAGTTATAAGAAAAAAGAATCTGATTCCACATAAGAGAGATTATTCTGTAGCTATCCCTTTCCTTCTGAGTAACCTCACTCAGCATGATAGCCTCTAGTTCCATCCATGTTGCTGCAAATTTGCTCTTTCTTAGAGCTGCGTAGTATTCAGTTTTGTAAGTATGCCACAATTTCTTGATCTATAGCAAGGTAGTAACAAAGTTCTAAAAGCAACACAATGGGAAAACTCACAAAATCACAAATCATCGTGTTATTCGTCGATTGCCTCGAGCAGGCCCCAGTATCATCTCTTTCATCCTAGCCCTGAGATTATATTCAAGGCTCTTTAGGAGAATGAGCCCCATCATTGTTACTGGTATTTGGCATATTGGGTATGCCACGGGGAGTTTGCCAGACTCTGCCGTGTGGACAGGCTACATTCGATAGCCTGCCAGTTTGTCCAAAGTAGGAATGAGATAATAAGATGTCATAATAAGATGTCGTGCGGCCGTGAATGCGGCTGCGTGGTTCCAGCAGCTGGTTTTTATAGTCTCTGAGTCTTGGCCATTGATGGGATTACACGGCACCAGGGGGCCAGTTGGTGGGTGTGACCCCTGCCTACTGGAATTTGAAGGATCTGGGTGGAGGATGCTTGGCCCCAATCCGAGTAGGCTTGGAGATCTCGGCCCCGGAACCCGCATGGCTTTGTCTCCTGCCCCCGCGCCTGACTGTCCTCGCCGGGGCCCCTTGGAGGGGAGCGGGTTGAGCTTTCTTCCCCGCCCCGACCAGGGCTCTGGCAGCCGAAGACCTCCAGGACCAGCCACCACCATGCTGAGACCACTCTCCGCACACATGAAGGTACTGGCAGAGGGACAAAGCCACGCAGGTTCCGGGGCCGAAATCTCCAAGCCTACTCGAATTGGGGACGAGCATGGGGAAACTGATCCACACAATTGATATGGTGGGGAATTGGAAGGAAGGGGACTGGGGAGGGGGCACTCTGGTTATGTGTGGTACTGGGTTTATGGACATGAAAAACTATTATTAATAGAATTGTAAACCACAGAATTTCAGTGTATCGGTTCATTATTTTTTAAAAAAAGAAATCTGTCTGATTAAGGTTGTCATTTCTAGATGCCCAGGAAGGTTTCTAGTCCCCTTCTCATTTCAATAAACATTATATATACACTTTATTGATTCATTTATCAATGTATCCTGAGTGCCTGCTAGATGCCAGAGCTGGAGATACTGTAAGATACTGGAGAAGACAAACAAGCTCTATGCTCTCACAGAGCTTGGTGTCTTCTGAAGATGATCAAGCTATCAGCAGCAGCTTGGTTGAATGCCCTAGAGGAAATAGGACCCCTGGCAAAGCAGTCACTTTAGACAGGCTGCTGATAGAAGGGTTCTCTGAGGAAGTGGCTTTCAAGTTGAGATGTGAAGAATGAGAAAGGAATGAGTAAAGAGAACATTCCAAGGAAGAAGGAACAAGTGCAAAGGCCTTGAGGTTAAAAAATAAAAAACAAAAAACCCAAGTTGCTGAGCAAGCAACTTGGAATAAATGGAATAAATAAATAAATAAATAACAGGATCTGCAGTATATATTATGCACTTAGTAGTACTGCTGCTCTATCTGTCATCTTCATTCATGTGCCAAAACAATCCAATAATTTTTCAAACTTTTCTGCGACCCTAAGAAAACATCTTCTTGGCTCCAACTGGCTGACCCCTAAACCACAAGAAAAAAGAACCATTTCAGCTAGGCTTTTGGCCTTAAGCTGTCTCTTGTTCCCACACTTGGATCTAAGAGTGGAGGGAAGTATTGGGGTGAGGGGAACTCTTGGGATGACAGCTCATCATACCAGCATCTACTGAGGTCCCAACTCCCCACCCCTGCTCCAGTCCTCGGATGACAACCTGGGATCTAATGCATGAATACAAACAAAACATTACAGTGAATTCTAAGTCCCCACTAAGCCCTTTACTCTGTTTGCTTTATAAGATTAAATGCCCCCAGTTCTTGTTGAGCTAGCCTTCTCCCTCAGTGTGTGGTATGTTTTCCAAGCAACAACAGGTCAAGAAATCTTACCACACGTAAGTCTATAATGCAATTCAGATGTAACTTCAGAAATTAAAACAAGTTAAAGTTCCATAGTCCTGAAAAAGACCCAGAAGAACATCCTAGCTTCACAGACACCCAGTGTCCTAGAGTCTTTGAAAGGGTGGTCAGGCCAAGTTTCCACCAAAGGGGGATGAGAGATGAGCTAAGCTACCTGAATGTAGGGATCCCAGTAAAATGTCACCCTTAGGTGACATTGAGGCACTTCAACTTCAGCTTCACCACCCCGCTGGCTGCACTCAACTGCCCTGCACCCATGAAAACTTGAATCAGAAGCAGCCAGCCTGGAGCACACAATGGGGGAATATTGAGTCCCAGGAGGGGCTCATGAGGAGGCTTCCCACACTACACCACCCTGGAGTGACAACTGCCACCTTCTGCAGCTCACTGGCTCTTCAGCAGTGACATTTCCTAGCTTGTCTGCTTGCTTCACACACAGAAAATCTGACTCAAGGCATGAAAGAGATAACTCAGCCCAGCATTGCCTAGGCAGGCAGCACATGCAAATCCAAGGTAACCTCAGGCTAAGATCAATTATTTCCCTGTGTCTGTTTGTCAGGGGACCTGGTGCTGTTTTAGCAACTTCCTGGATCTGGCAATAACTATCCTAGCCTTCAAAGGTCTCCTCCCATATGGTAACAAACATGCTTGATGGGGAATGTCAGAATGTCATTGGGAAGCTTAACTCTAATGATGAGCTATTTGATGGGCATTTTAAAGATGCTGGAAAGGGATTTCATCTAGCTCTTTCATTATCTCAGGAGGAAAGGTCAGAGGTGATGGAAACCTGCTACCTGTCTCAAGTCACTTGATTGTAATGCAACTGTATTTCAGAACATTCCCAATCTTTTCCTGTTTCATCTTTGGGGTTTCATTTGACCAGGATCTCATGGACAAAAAGAAAACTGCACTGGGGAAATTTACTCCATCTAACAAGAGATCTGCAGAGTGCTTTTATCTCCAGGGACCCAGACAGAACATTGTGGAGATCATAAATCCCCAAAATTAGGGGAGAGAATTTTCTCCACTCAGTCCCCGCTCCCAACAAAGAGAGAGAGACAGAGAGACAGAGAGAGACAGAGAGAGAGAGAGAAAGAGAGAGAGAAAGAGAGAGAGAGAGAGAGCAGTCACTATTCCTGTTCCTTCCAAATAAGTAAGTTTGCATATGCAAGAGTCAGAACTATTTAAATAAACGACCTTATTCTGGAATCTTGATTTGATCTGATATAATCACTTACTGTTAGTCCTGTGAAGAAAGGATTCCTAATGACTGTGCTATCCAAGTTGTTTGCCTTGACAGAAGCTCCAAGTGAGGCCCCGAGGACTGGGGCTAGTTCCTCTCAGCCCCCAGCATTCACTAGCCCTGTGAACTGCAGCAAGTGACTGAACAAACATCTCTGAACTCTGAGTACTTTCTCAAAAACAATAATGCTGCCTTTGGTTATTATGAGGATTAGGCAAAACATTTAGCCTAGTGCCTGGCACCTAATGGAACCCTATAAGCATCAGCCATTGTTATTAACATCATTAAAGAATTTCGGCTAAAATCTGGGAGCTAGTTAATGGGCAACTGGGGTGCACAATGGAAAGCAATGCCTCTTGTCCTGTGTCCCCATCTGCCTGGTCTGGCAGGAGCCCCCACGTAGGCTCAGTGCACGTGTAGACATGCAACTGCAGCTGTGGGCTGATTATCCACAGGATTTGCCAACAGAGATGCTGAGTAACGGAAATTTTTGTTTCTGAAACTGTCCTTCTCCTCCATCCATGTCATGGACAGAAGGGAAACAAGCCGCTTCTCTGTGTCACTATGCTTGGGGTGCTTCTTTGCTAGGATTATTTCTTATCGAGAACATTGTTCATTCAATGACAGCACCAAGGTATCCTCCTGGTCAGATTCATGCTTGGTGAATCGGTGATTTGGTACAAATTCGGGCCCCTGTGATTTGTCTTCCAGAGGTCTCAGGTACTTTTCTCAGAGGTGCCCCGCAGAGATACTGGCCAGTGTTTATTGACCAGAATGAAAAATTTCTTCACACCTGGTTTTCAACCAGAATAAATCATTATTTCATAGGATATTGGGAAATAACAAGTGGTCCCGGTGTATATTTCTGGGTCACCAGAAGAGCCCCATTTCTCTTTTATGAGGCCTCATTTGGTTTAAGAAGGAAGAGGCCTCTCTGGGGGCTCACAGGTGCGCTTCTTGAGAACCAAGTGTCGTAGCTCCCAGTAACCCCTCATTCCCCCTTCATGACAAATGCTCAAATGCTTAATGTCCACATAGGTGTTGGCAAAACAAATTCCTCCTTCTTTCTAGCTTTGCT